CACTCACTTGCCATCGTCTGTGGCTAGGTGTCTGTCCGGATCTTTTGCCTGTTTCTCAGTCAGGTTGCTTGCTTGCTTGCTTCCTTTCCTTCCTCTTTCCTTCCTCCCCTCCCCTCCCCTCCCCTCTCCTCTCCTCTCCTTTCCTTTCCTACAGAGTCTGGCTCTGTTGTCCAGGCTAGAGTGCCGTGGTGTCAGTCTAGCTCACAGCAACCTCAAACTCCTGGGCTCAAGCGATCCTCCTGCCTCAGCCTCCCGAGTAGTTGGGAATGCAGGCATGTGCCACCATGCCTGGCTATTTTTTTCTATGTATATTTTTATTTTATTTTATTGTTTTAATTTTTTTCTTTTTTTCCCCCTTATACTTGGAAGCATTGGGAGAAGATCTATGTATATTTTTAGTTGTCCAGATAATTTCTTTCTATTTTCAGTAGAGACAGGGTCTCGCTCTTGCTCAGGCTGGTCTTGAACTCCTGACCTTAAGCGATCCTCCTGCCTTGGCCTCCCAGAGTGCTAGGATTACAGGATTGAGCCGCTGCTCCCGGCCTGTTTGTTTTCTTATTGCTGAGTTTTAAAAGTTCTTTGGATATTTGGGTTACTAGTCCCTTATCAGATACGAGTTTTGCAAAGATTTTCTCAGTCTGAGGTTCATCTTTTCATTCTCTTAACAGTTTCATTCTCTCAATTTCTCTTATCAATTCTTTCTTTCAGAGACTGTTTGGGTGTTGGATTAGCAATTCTTTTGTGCTTCATTTGTTAATGACATACCTAATATTCCTCAGCCCTTAGATGCCCCCAGGGAGGGCCGTGCTGTCCTGGCGGCATGGCCATGGCGAGGAGGGGGGCTCTCACTGTGCCAGTGGCTCGGGCTCTGCTCCCTGCAGGGACACGCGATTTGTCCTTCACGGAGTTCACTGGGAAGGCTGCGTATGCCTGGAATGTTCTTAACGTGCAGATAAAATTATGGATTCCATTTCTTTACTAAGCTTTTGTCAGGCTTTCTATTTCATCTTGTATCAGTTTTAGTAAGTTGTACTTTACAAGCATTGTCCGTTTCATCTAAATTTTCAAGTTTACTGGCTTAAAATTGCTCATAATAACTTCTTGAAATCCTTGACTGTAGGATCTGTGGGATCCCCCTCCTTCCTGGTCTTCCTGTGTTTCCTTCCTGGTTTCCATGAGCAGCCTGTCAAGGGCTTATCAATTTTATTAGTCTTTTAAAAGCCAACTTTTGGCTTTTTTTGTTCCCTCTATTGCACATTTTTTCTAGTTCCACTGTTTGGCTCTCATCTGTATTATTCTCTTCTACTTTCTTTGGATTTAATTTGTTGTCCTTTTTCTAACTTACTGAGAGCAATAATTGTCAGACTTTCTTTTTGTCTGATATATGCATTGTCTTTAATTTCTTTTAAGGCCAGGTCCTGCTCTGTCACCCAGGCTGGGTGCTGTGGCCCGCTCACAGTCCACTGCAGCCTCAACTCCTGGGCTCAAGGGACCCTCCCGCCTCAGCCTCCCAAGATGCGGGGACTATAGGTGTGAGCCAGTGTACCTGACCTAATATATGCATTTTAAGGCTAGGTATTTCCCTCGAAGCCTGGCTTTAGCTCCATTCCACAAGTTTTATGTAGCATTTGCACGATTAACTTCAAAATATTTTCTAATTTCCACTATGGCTTCTTCTTTGAACCGTGAGTTATTTAGAATTGTGTTTCTCAGTTTCTAAGTACATGAAGATGCTCAATTATCTCTTGTTTTTATTTCTAGCTCAGTTGCACTGTAATTTGGAATCCTTTCAAGTCTGTGGAGGCCTCACCTGTGGCCTGGCCTGATGTCAGCTCCCACACCTGGGTGGGTTTGGAGACCGTGCCTGCACTAGGGAAGGCCCAGTGGGCTTTCGTGCACCTATCAGATTGGAACTCAGTGAAAAGATGGAAAGCGTGCGATGCCAGCAAGTGTGCAAGGAAATAAGCCGCCTCCTGCAGTGCCGACGGCTACGGATGGCTGTTCCTCCTAAGAAAGAATTATCTACTAAAATAAAAGTTGCAGAGATCTTTGCTCGGTCACTCCACGTCTGTGAATCATCCCTCAGAAATCGAAGTTCCAGTTTGTAAGGATTTACGTTCAGGGATATTCACTATAGCTTTGCTTATAGTGGAAGAGAAAACAGCGGAAGCAACCTAAGAGTCCCTCAGCAAGGACACATTGAACAAATCAGAGGACACCTACACCCAGCAAGTGTCATGCAGGTTTCCCTGATGCTTTCATTGCCGTAAAATAAACACAACATAAAATTCACCATCTTAACCATTTTCAAGTGCGCAGTTCAGTGATATTAAGCTGATTCTTGTTTTTTTTTTTTTTTTTTGAGACAGAGTCTCACTTTGTTGCCCAGGCTAGAGTGAGTACCGTGGCGTCAGCCTAGCTCACAGCAACCTCCAACTCCTGGGCTCAAGCAATCCTGCTGCCTCAGCCTCCCAAGTAGCTGGGACTACAGGCATGCGCCACCATGCCCGGCTAATTCTTTCTATATATATTAGTTATCCAATTAATTTCTTTGTATTTATAGTAGAGACGAGGTCTCGCTCTTGCTCAGGCTGGTATTGAACTCCTGACTTCGAGCAATCCGCTCGCCTTGGCCTCCCAGAGTGCTAGGATGACAGGCGTGAGCCACCGCGCCCGGCCAGCTGATTCTTAATGTTGTGAAACCATCACCACTATCCGTCCCCGTAACTCTGCTCGTCCTGAAAACCTGAAACTCTGCGCCCATCAAACACTGACCCCACCCTCCCCAGCCCAGCACCACCATTCCTCTTTCTGCCCCACGAGTGTGACTGCTCGAGGCGCCTTATCCAAATGGAGTCACACGGTACTGGTCCCTTTGCAACTGTGTCCTCAGCATGATGCCATCGTGCTGGGTCCACGGTGCAGTGGGTGTCATAAGGCCCTTCCTTTCTAGGACCGAACAGCACACCCGTGTGAACGGGCCACCTTGTGTTCGTCCACTTGTCTCTGGTGGGCGCTGGGCTGCCTCCAGGTCTCGGCTGTTGTGATAGTGCCACTGTGAGCGTGCACGCACAAGGGTCTCTTTAGGACCCTGCTTTCGGTTCTTTGGGGTATATACCCAGAGGGGGATCGCTGGGTCAACTGACAACGCTGTCTTCAGCTTCGAGGAATTTTCCACAGCGGCTGCACCATTTTACATTCCCACCAGCAGTTACTGTGCAGTTAAGAAGAAATGAGTTAGGACGGGGCGCAGTGGCTCACACCTGTAATCCTAGGCCTTCGGGAGGCCAAGGTGGGAGGATCACTTGAGGCCAGGAGTTTGAGACCAGCCTGAGCAACATAGTGAGACCCCATCTCTAGAAAACTGAAAAATTAGCCAGGTGTGGTGGTGGCGCCTGTAGTCCCAGCTACTCAGGAGGCAGAGGCGGGAGGATTGTGACCCAGGACTCCTGCCACTGCACTCCAGCCTGGCAACAGAGCAAGACAAGGAGGGCGAGGAGGAAAGAGGACTGCAAGTCCTGAAAGATGGTGGAGTTGTTGGGAAACGGACGTGCCGGGGTTTGCGGTGGGGACATGCGGGGAGCAGCCCCTGAAGGAAGCCAGAGGGGCCAGGCATGTCGGGTCAGCCACCAGCCAGCGGGAGGTGGCAGGGCTGCAGCCCCCTCCGGAGGGGACAGGGTGGTCACGGCACCGCAGCACGGCGTGACACGATAGGGCCAGCTGCGCAGTAGTAACAGCGATCTTACTTTGAGAAAAAGGGAAGCACTCGACACGTATACTCACATTTATAATTCATTTGTGTGAATTTTGGAAGAGATGCAGAATGCTGTTACCTCAAGGAGGCAGAATGGGGCCGGGCGCAGTGGCTCACGCCTGTAATCCCAGCACTGTGGGAGGTCAAGGCGGGAGGATCGCTGAAGGTGAGGAGTTTGAGACCAGCCTAAGCAAGAGGAAGACCAGTCTCTACAAAAATAGAAAAAATTAGCCGGGGAGGCTGAGGCAGGAGGATTGCCTGAGCCCAGGAGGTTGAGGTTGCTGTGAGCTAGGCTGACGTGGCGTCTCTAGCCCAGGTAACAGAGTGAGACTCTGTCTCAAAAAAAAAGAAAAAAAAACAAAAACAGAGGCAGCATGGGATGGGGTGGGAATCTGGTTTGACTAGTCAAAGCAAGTTTTTTGTGTTTTGTTTCTCTGAGACCTGAATGAGGAAGGTGAATGAGCGCCCAGGGCCCAGGGTCGCAGGGACAGCACCACAGACGGGGGCCAAAACCACCTACATGAATCCTCTCCAGCTCTGGAGGCCGTGGTCGGCACCGGGAGCGACAAGGGTGTGGGGAGGACACTTCCTGCCTCTGCCTCGTCCTCACGCGGCTTTTCCCTGGCACCCAGTCCACACCCCTCTGCCAACAAGCGGCTTTTCCCTGGCACCCAGTCCACACCCCTCTGCCAACAAGGCCGCAGTCACCGGGGGACCCGGGGACCACCCTGCTCCAGTGAGACCTCATGCCACCTTGGTCACATCTTCAAAGACTCTATTTCCAAATAAGGCCGCAGCATGAGGCTCTGGGAGGACACGAGTTTGGGGACACCACTCACCCCAGTGTAGACATGAATGACAAGGAAACTCAGAGGTTTCTCTGGTGTAATCTGAAAGCAGAAGCGCAGACTGCCACGACCTGGATGTCTGTCCCCGAGTCCCCACGCTGACCTCTGAACCCCGAGGGGAGGGTGTCAGGAGGTGGGGCCTCACCAAGGGCCGGGGCCCTCTGGAAGGAGGCCCCGAGCTCCCTTGCCCTCCCACCGCAAGATGGTGCAGCGCGAGGCAGGTCTGGGAGCCAGAACGGAATCTGGCCTCACGGTCCCAGGCCTCAAACTCAGCCTTCCAGCCTCCAGCACCACGAGAGAGACATCCCTGCGGTTCATGAGCAGCCTGAGCGCTAAGACAGGCCCAGGGCCCGGCAGGCGGCCTCTCCTCCGAGGTGCTGAGGCTGGCTGCAGCTGGGGGAGTCCCTGGACGGCAGCCCAAACGCTCGGGGCCCTGAGGGGCCCCAGATCCAGGCCCCACCTGCCCCGCTGCACCGCCAGAGACCCTCCCTGCAGGCAGCGGCCGTGAGGATGGGGAGCAGAGGGGGGTCCTGCCTGCTCCCCTGGGAACCCTGGTGGCTTCGAGGCCTCCGGGACACCCTGGGGACCAGCAGTGGGTGCCCAGCCTTGGGGAGGCCCCGCGGTCCTGGAATCCAGGGAGGTGACTGGACCAGAGACACCCGAAGGAGCTCCCCACACACAATTCACAGCCGGGAGTGGTGGCAGGGCGGGGGCTGGGGAAGGAATGAGGAGAGGCCCAACAGCGCCCTCCGGAGCCCAAGTGCGCTGAGCGCGGGGTCGGGCGCCCACGCAGTCCTTCCTGCTTTCCAGCGTCCTGTGATGTGCGCGGATGGTTTCTACACTCAGAAATGGAGGCTAAAAGCATAAGGTAAAGGGGCCTGCCCGAGGGAACGCCCCGACCCAGTGGGGGCAGTGGAAGGGAGGTGACGGCCCGGGGAGGTGACCACCTCGGGGCGTCCAGCTCTGCCCTGGCGGGGAGGGCGGGCAGCTCTGGCTCGGGCGCTGGGCAGACGCGCCACTCACGAGTCCCAGACTGATCTCGGTTGTCGGAAGAGGAGGTGGACAGAGGTGCCTCTTCCTCTCCTGCCCCTGCTGGCCACTCGAGGCAGCGCGAGCTGTGGGGGTTCCGGGGAGCCACCCAGGCACCAGCGCCAGCCCAGGCCTTGTGCGGGGAAAAGAACAGCAAAGAAGCATCTGCCTGGACATGGGGGACCCTTTATTCCCCGCAGTGAGCACGCTAAGGGGAACCCAGCGGCGGGCGGGCGGGACGTAGCCTGGGCTGTGGGGTCCTGCACCTGCCCCGCCCCGCCCCGGGAGCCAGGGCCCAGCTGGCCAGCGGGCCGTCAGAAGGGCCGGCACTGAGGCTTGTCCCCGAGGTGGGGCCGCCGGGGGCCCGAGGGCACGTTCTCCAGGACCTCGCGCAGGGAGAACATGCAGAAGGAGATCTCCTCGTAGGAGGTCCTGGCCCCACTCTCATACAGGCAGGCGAAGGCCAGGGCCCCCACGGGGCTGGGCCCGATGGACACCAGGTCGGAGTAGCCGCTGGGGCCCTCGTAGATCACCCAGGGCTCCGTCCAGCTGTGGGGATCCAGTGGGGCCCGGCTCAGGCGGATGCCCATGTGCAGCCGAGCCCTGAGCCCGGCGGGGTGGGAGTACAGCAGCCACGTGGGGCTCTGGGGCAGGGTGGCAGGGGTGGCAGGCAGGGCCAGGGTGCAGGGCCCCTTGTCCCCACCGACCCCAGGCCCAGGGCCAGGCTGCCCAGGGCCATCCCTCCGGCACTGTGGGTGGCTGAAGGGCCCCTCCGGCACCTGGCCTCCACGGGGCTCCCCAGTGCCCTCCGCTGGGGGTTCCTGGACTCCAGGACAGAGACGGGCAGGGTGGGGGGGCCTCCTGGGACCCACCGCCCATCCCTCCCCCGGCGGCCTGCTGGGGGGCGGGGCTGGGAAGCCCACGATGCTGCCCTGGCAGCCCCAGGCTGTCTCAGCCAGGGGGGGCACGAGCTCCCCGGGCAGGAAGGAGCTGCCCTCATCGGTGCTGAGCGCCTGCACGCGGCGGCCCAGGGGGCTGCGGGCGTTGCAGTAGAGGACGCTGCTGGCCCGGCCGCCGTCCACCACAGCCAGCTGGCACTCGCCGGAGCGCAGGTTGGGCACGAGGCCCCCGCAGTGCCAGGAGCGGCCGTGGTCGTCGCTGTAGAAGGCGAAGGCGTGGGGGCTGGTCCGGCAGATCTTGCCGAAGCACTCCCGGCGGTCCACGCGGTAGGCGTAGGCGGGCACCAGCAAGCGGCCCGAGGGCAGCTGGATGCCGTGGCCCGGGCCCACGGCGAACGTGGCCCAGCCTGCGGAGAGCAGGAGCGGAGGTGCGCTCTGGTTACAGGGGGAGGGTGCCACGGGCAGTGCCCACACGATGGGAGATGGGGACCTGGGCCTCAGCGGGGGCAGCTGATAGCCGACCTCCCTCCACACGACACTCATCCGGCCACCGCAGTCCTCCCAGGCAGGACAAGCCCCTCACTGCCATTAGCAGGCGCTCAGGAGCCCGTGTGGCGGATTCTTGGCCAGCCCTGGACGTGTGAGCTGCCAGCCAGTCCCAAACCCAGGCTGGTGGCCACCGGCGGTGCCCGGCGTGAGGGCTGCCCAGAGAGAGAGCAGAGGGTTGGGGGGGTGAGGACCCGCAGGCCAAGGTCCCTGGACAAGCTGTGTGTCCCGTCCACATCCCACGTGTGGCTGCCACGTGCCACGGAGGGAGTGGGTGGGCAGCTCCTGGGCCGGGGCAGCAGGGTGGAGGAGATGTCTGTGGCCAAGGCCCTGGGTGGTGTGAGGGGAGGCGGCTGCCGGGTCTGGGGCCAAGAGAGGCCTCAGCACTGGGCCTCCTCCTCTGCAAGAGCCCGAGGAAGTCTCAGGTCGGCGGGGCAGCCTGCTCCTGCCCGCCAGGTGGCTGGGAAGATGACGGTACCGTGCCTGGGGTCTGGAGGACGCTTGGCCACATTTGGGTGGAGGCCCAGGGCGGGCCGGGCTGCCCAGAGACCCCCCGCTGCACGTGGACTGTGGCCCCAGCTGAGCGCCTACCCTGCACAGCACCGCCGATGGCCTCCTCGGTGAGGTCGCGGGCGCTGCCCCACGTGAGGCCAGCGTCGCGGCTGCTCACGCAGCAGAGACGCGCCGCGTTCCTGCCTGTGGCGATCTGCACGGCCTCAGGCGTGTGGCCCAGCACGGCGATGAAGAAGAGGAAGACGGTGCCGGTGCCGGCGTCCAGCACGGGGCAGGGGTTCATGGAGCGGTGCTCCTCCAGGGCCGCCGAGCCCAGCACGCTCAGCGCGCCCCACTGCGGGGGAGGAGGGGCCGCTGGCCAGGACGCCTGGGACCCCGGCCCAGTCCGCAGGGGCACCTCAGGGGCGGGGCCCGAGCTCACCCATCCCACCTGAGCACCCACCGTCCCCAGCGCCAGCCCCACCCCACGCGGCCACTCACCCTCACGGAGCCCCCGGCCAGCGTGCCCCTCCTGAGCGCCAGGCGGTGGGCGTGGGAGTCACTGGGGCTGAGCCGCTGCTCCGCGAAGGCCAGCAGGGTGGGCCCCGGGGGCACCGGGAGCAGCGCGGGCACACGGTAGGTCAGGCCCGTCCTTTCCCGCTGGAAGAGCACGGTCCGTGCCGGGGCACGAGGGGGCCCCATGCTCAGCTGCTCAGAGCGGGGCCTTGGGTCATTGGACGGGGCCGGGGAGCCCCAGCCCCACACCCACACGGCTGTCGGCACTGGGGAGGGCTCAGCGGGTGCAGACGTGCCCACCTGGGCCCCACCCTGTGCTGCCGTGGGGACAGCCCTGTCTCACACTCCCTCACCCCAGACCCGGGCAGCTGCTCCCCAGCACACCCACAGCCACAGCACCCGACGGCAGCAAATCGGCCCGGCCTCCTCTCAACACAGCTCGAAAAGCCGGCCAGGCCTGGTTGGCTCTGGGTACAGGGGAGGCTGGCCAGAGAGGACGCAGGCCCTGCCAGCCCATGTGCCCAGGACGCACAGTCACTGCAGAATTCACCCGGCACGACGCTGGACAACTGGACAACCAGAGTGCTAGGCTTCAGGCAAGGAAGAGCGCAGCATCCCCAAAGGAGGGGCTGCAGCACCACAGAAGCCACAACTAACACAGAGACCTGCACACACAGGGATACATGCACACATACAGGGACATGCACACACACAGGGACCTGCACACACACAGGGATACATGCACACACACAGGGACCTGCACACACAGGTACATGACACACGACCAGGGACAGTCGCACACCTTCTGGACCCCGAAAAAAATAAAAAAAAAAGAAAAAAAAAATAACAAAAGAAGGAAAAACACAAAAATAAAAAATAAACAACAATAAAAAAAAAACAACATAAAAAAAAAAAAAAGAATAAAAAAAAGAATCAAAACTTTCAACAAAACACAACAAACAGATTTTTCTCTCCCTGAGACAAGTTCAGCATGAATCGTGTGAATAAAGGTGATGAATCATAGTGGTGAGGTTGGGGGAGGGATGTCGACGGTGCCTTCTGACATGATACATGCACACGAGGGGACAATGGCACCACACAAATGGGACACATTTGCCAACACTACAGGGACCTGCACACACTAGGACATGCACACACACTAAGGGACATGGAACATGCACACACATTTCAGACACAATGTTTCGAGTTGAGTTGTCACCGCGGGACATGCACACACACAGGGATACATGCACACACACAGGGACCTGCACACACACAGAGATACATGCACACACACAGGGACCTGCACACACACAGGGATACATGCACACACACAGGGACACGCACACACAGGGACATGCATACACACAGGAACCTGCATACACACGGGGACACACACACAGGGACACGCACACAGGGACACGCACACAGGGACATACATACACAGGAACATGTGCACACACAGGGACCTGCACACACACAGGGACACGCACACACAGGGACCTGCACACACACAGGGGACACACACAGGGACACGCACACACAGGGACCTGCATACACACAGGGGCACGCACACAGGGACAGGCACACAGGGACATACATACACAGGAACATGTGCACACACAGGGACCTGCACACAGGGACCACGAAGGGCAGCCCCGGGGGCCTCCTGCAGAGGAGGAGCTGAACTTGAGGGCACCTTTGGGAGCAGAGGACAGACTGCTGGCCCCTCGGGCTGCCCGAGCGAGGGTGGGGGTGGGGAGGCCCAGCAGAGCCCCCGCCCCGCAGGTGCCCCAAATGGCTCCCAGGTGCACCTGGGAGAGGCGGAGGCGGAGCTGGCAGAGGAGCAGCAAGAGGGATCTCAGGCAGGGGCCACGCCCTGCCTCCCACCCTCCAGCAGCTCTCTGGAGGGGCTGACGTGAGAAGCAGCTTTGTGCCGCCAACCCTAGGTGCTCGCGAGAGCCATGAAGGGAAGGAAAGGAGACCTGCCACCACCCGTGCCTCCCACATGCGTGGGCGCACACAGGCGGGAAGCAAGGCTGGGGAGACCAAGTGGGCTTCCTGGCGGTGGTGATCGGGGCCGAGTGAGCGCTGAGGGGAGTGGGGCAGGGGATGGACGACATTCCAGTGACCAACAGGATGGATGAAGGCCCCTCCCCGGCCGTCCACAGCCCACCTGCAGCCTCTTCCCGAACTCGGCTGGTCACCGGCCCCCCTTGCCCACGGACCGGGCTCCTGCAGGGGACAGGCACTTTGTGGTCAGACGCTGCCTGCAGGACGCCCACGCCCGTGTCCTCACCCCACCCCAGATGCAACTGCACCTGTGCGTGGGGCCCTCACCTGGGGGCACCTGAGAAACTCTCCCACGAGCAGCTGGCCCCCGTGCCCCGAGCGTGGCCGGCAGCCTCTCTGGGACCTGCCTGCCCCTGGGAGTTTGCTCCCAAGAGAGGCTCCCAGGGCAGGGGCCGTGGGGGCGTACTGGGGGCTCACCTGGGGTCTGCCCGCCACAGGCTGGGCCCGCCAGGGGCTTGTGGGTCTGACTTGCTCGAAGGCAGAGCAGGGCCGTGAGTGACAGGCACAGCGGGCGCAGGGGTGCCCGGAAGGAGCCGCACACAGCTGGGGGGTGGCGCCCACCGTGCAGGACTCTGAGCAACCTGGGCCTGGGCCGGCCACGCACAGGAACCAGGTGGGAGCGCCGAGGGGAGGGGAGGGGTGGCACAGTGCCCACGTCACCTGGCCAGGACCAAACCCCGCACACAGGGCCACGCACATTCACCAGGCAGGTGGTCCCATGCATGGAGAACGGGCTAAGGGTGAACGCTCGTGGAAACCAAGAGCAGCCTGGACAGACACCACCTCACCCACCTCAGCCCAGGGCTGCAGCCCCATGGGCCCTCCCTGCTGCCCCCTGCTGCCAGCTCGGCCCGGACAGCAGCTTCCTGTCTCTTGGCAGCCCCGGCTCTGTGCTCAAAGGGCAGCTGTGCCCAAGCGGGAAGCAGGTGCGGTGCCACGTGTCCCTCTGGGCCAAGCAGGCACAAGCGAGACATTCTCTCTGCACTTGGCTCGTTCCCCAAAGCCTGGGACCGCGGGAGCAAGTGTCGGCACACCCTGCAAAGGGGAGACCCAGGCCACCTCGGCCCGGGACAGAGCCGGAGAGATGGACACTGCAGGAGCTAGCTGGTCACCCCCTGCTTTGCACAGAGGGGACACTGAGCCCTGCAGAGGGCATGGGGCTGCTACACGGGTGGGCATCCTTGCCAGGGCCAGGCCCCAGGCTCCCACAGAGCCTTGACGTCCCGGCCGAGCCCTCAGCCCAGGAGGAGGAGCGCAGCCAGCCCTGACCAGCTCAGTCAACCCAGCCCATCCCAGGTGGCTGGACCAGGGCGTCTGCGTTCCAACATTAACCAGCGTCCACACACCCTCCCCGGCAGGGCCCTCCTCGGGGTACCAAGTCACAGAAGGGGAGGTGGAGGCCTGGAGAAGGGGGACCTCCAAGAGAAACTGGTCTTCTGGCACCTGCCCCGGGCAGGTTGTAGGGCTCATTCTGTGGCTCAGCAGGCATGGCCGCAGGCCTCCTGGAAGGGCTGTCCTGAGAGGCCAGCCCAGTCCTCCCCGCACACCCCTGGGCCACCACACCTTGGGAGCTGCCAGAGGCTCAGCCTGCCGGGGCATCAACTCGCACCCACGTAACCTGCAAAGCCCCTTGCACAGAGTTCTAACAGGGGGCCTGGTGCGGCTCTGTCCCCTCAGACTGTTTCTGTGCCACATGCATCATGCCCCGGCTGGGGCCAGGACTGGGGACTACAGTCCTTCTGCCAGGTGGAGTGTCACCGACCGGCCCATCTGCAGAAGGACCTGTGGACTGGGGCCGGGCTCCCAGCCTTGGGCACCCCCCACCAGTCTGCATCCGTCCTGTGCTCTGAGTCTGGCCTGGGGACCCCTCAGTGTCACACCCCCATGTGGGACAGGAAATTGTCCCCCTGGGGATCCATGTGGGGCCTCTGGCTGGAAGGGCCCAAGGGGTCTAAGCAGCCCACCCCTTGTTTCAGAGGAGCTGCCCTGGGGGTGGGACTTGCCCGTCACCCCCAGAGAAAGAGGCAGGGAGCAGATGCCCTCAGGAGCCAGGTCCTGGCCCGAGGGCCCGGGGTGCAGGGCGAGGGCACTGCAGGGTGAGCGGGGTGTACTCACCACTCACCGGCCTCCTCGGGAAGGCTGCGGAGCTGCTGGAGGGGCGGCCGCTCGCCCGTCCAGCGCGGAGACAGGAGCCCACTGTGTGGGTGGTGAGCGCAGGAGCTGGCTGCGCCCCAGCGCTGTGTCAGGACGCTGACACCCCCCTCGGGCAGCACAGCTGCAGCCAGACCAGTGGGCGGAGGATGCCCGGAGCAGCGTCCAGTCGGGCAGCACAGCTGCAGCCAGACCAGGGGGCGGAGGATGCCCGGAGCAGCGTCCAGTCTGCCCAGGGCAGCACAGACGGCCCAGGTCAGCGCAGGCCCCTCTGCACTGGGACGCTCAGGGCGGGGCACCTGGGATCGGTCCACCACGGGGTAGGGGGGCGAGGGGCAGTTGTCCCTTGGCCCCAGGATGCCCTCTGGGCCTCGACAGACCCCGGTCCCCTGTTCGTGCTCCCAGGCCCGGCCGGCACCTGAAGAGCCAGCATAGCACCCCAACTTCCTGTGCCCCCGGGCAAAGAGTGGAGTCCTTTGCAGCACAGCCGCCCCCAGGGCTCCTGCCAGCCCTGGTCCTGAGGACCCTCCCTCCCCTCTGTGAAGGCGTAGTCGGCCCCTTCTGCAACATCCGGGCTTCGTGGGAAAACAGGACGTCTTGGGACCTCCAGGCCAAGGTGCTAAACCTGCTGTGTCCCCTCAGGTCCCCAAGGCCCGAGGGGATTTACTGGGGCACCCGGAGAGGCCAGGAGGGTGTGGGACACAGAGGAGGGAGGGCTGGGCTCTGTCTCCCTCTGTCTCACCCTCGTGGCCACGTGGGTTGCTCGCCGCAGCCACAGCCATGGCCAGGCCCCAGGAGGGGAGGACTGAGTCCCCGTGGCTGGGACATGGCACAGCATGCACCCCTCTGCTCACACCAGGGGTCCTGGCCCAGGGGCAGATGAGGGGAAGCGACAGCCTCCCTGCCTGGCGGAACCCCCCCCCCAAACGGAGCAGGCCCACCTCCCTCCTCTCCTCCCCTAAGTCCGGGACTGGCGGAAAGGGCCCAGTGGAGTCCTTTGCAGCACAGCCGCCCCCAGGGCTCCTGCCAGCCCTGGTCCTGGGGCCAGGCGCCCCAGTTCACAGGGCCCCAGTTCACAGGGAAGGGGAGCCCCAGTTCCCTTGTGAAGCCCCTCACTGGGCCAACCAGAGGCCAGGTCTCAGGGCAAGGCCGTCTGATCGGGGTGTGCCCGTCACCCGCAGGCCCGCTCAGCCATTCAGAGATCCCTGGGCACACTTGAGGCTCTGTCCCCTTGGTGTAAATGCCCCAGAGGAGGGACTCTCCCTACTGTCTGAGGAAGCTGGACCCTCCCATTCTGAGCTCCAAGCCCCTGGCTGGACAGCCGCTCAGACCCGAGCAGACCCCGGAGGCACAGAGAAGGCCCAGAAACGCCCCTCCCTCACCCAAAGTTTCCAAGACACCCACCGTGCCCCCAGCTTGCCTTGGCCGCACCATGCAGAGCGGCCTGAACACCCTTTCCGTGGACAACGGGAACAGGTTGTTTTCAGAAGTCTCTATTGCAAACAGCGGGCATTTGCACATCACGGTAAAGAGCCCACGCTCCCACCAGTTTACCTCCCCACCAGCCTCGAAGGCGAAGACAAACGGTGCCTTGCTACTGTGACTCCATTTCTTAGACTGCGGTGCGGCCGAGAGCAGGACCCACACCAGGGCCAGGAAAGCCGTGGCCACCGTGGCCCGACTCTCTCCCTCTCCCCCAAGAAGACCTGTTCTACAGAAGAGCAGCGTTTCCCCTTACCCTGGGTCCCCCGGCCCCCGCAAGCTGAGGCTGGGGCTTGTTTCCTTCGCTGTGTGACAGTTTCTTACCTGGTGTCTTTTTTGTCTTCTGGGGCCCCTACCCCCCACAGCCATCCAGACGATCTGGCTGGCACCCTCAGCAGTGCCCACGCTATTCCTTCCTGTCCCTGTGCAGTTCTGGGGAGCCCTTTTTCAGGGCTCCCTTCAGGGACCCACAGCCCCACTACCCGAGGCCCTAGGGATTCCCTGGGCTCCAGGAGCTGAGGGCAGACTGTTGAACCACAGTTAAGTATCATTCGCTCTCCTACTTGTGAGACCTTCCGTCCAATGGACAGAGGCGCAGCTGCATGCCTGCGGCCTGGATTTAGGGCCCTCTCCAAGAGGGGTGAGTCCCGGGCGAGCGTCTCCCTTGGGGGCTTCTCTCTCTTCCTCACGTTAGAGAAGGCCCTGCTGGAGCCCAAGTCCTCCGGGACGGCTGCGGAGAGGGGCTGGTGTCAGCCGGTGTCCTCTCCCTGGCGCCAGCCCCGCTACTCCTACAGGAACGGGATCTTCTTGGGGGGCTTCTCCGGGAACTGCAGCGAGTACAAGTGGGCCATGTACTGGATCTCGGGCATCGCCATCCGCTGACAGGTGCGCAGCATCGCCGCGTCCAGGTCCTGCCTGAGGTTGTAGCCCAGGATGTTGGCCCTGCCCGACTGGTAGGGGCGCAGCTGCCGGTCGGTGATCTGCGTCTTGTTCTTGGGCGCGGAGTCCTGCAGGCACAGGACGGTGAGCTCCCGCCGCCGCGCCCGCAGCAGCTCCACCTCGCTGCGCAGCTGGCGCGGGCCCAGCTCGGCGTGCAGCTGCGCCCAGAAGCTGCGGTTGAAGTGCTCGTACAGGCGCCAGTCCAGCGCGCACCAGCGCTTGGCGCGCTCGCGGCTCTTGGGCGCCAGGCGAGTGACGGAGCCCGCGCTGCGCGCGTTGAGCCTGAAGGCGACCACGTCGTCCAGCCGCCAGCGCAGCCGGCGCCGCAGCAGCACCATGGACTCGTCGAAGTGCTCGGCGATGAGCAGCAGATGGAAGCGCCGCTCCACCTCGGCCAGGCGCGCACGCACGTAGCTCTCCTCCGCCGGCGCGTCGTGGTCAAAGCCGAAGTCGAACCACATGCTGTTCCTGGCGTAGGCGTTGCGCAGCCCCGCGCTGGCCTTGTAGTGGGTGCGCGGCGCCGCCAGGAAGGCGTCCAGGCTCTCCACGTGGCGGAAGGCGGGCACAAAGTCCTTGTAGTAGATGAAGGAAGACTCCAGCTGGGAGACGGGGTTTCGTAGGATGGAGAAGTAGAAGGTGTCGTTGGGCATGACTTTCTGCACCTGCTCGGAGACAGGCGGGTCACGGGCTGGAGGCAGGCGGGGCACCCTTGGCCACACCTGCTCCCCAGCCCCCCCGCCATGGACTCCTGGGGGCCGGCCTGAGCCCGGTGCAGGAGCAGCCAGGCCAGAGGCAAGCCCTGCATCCTACTTCAGTGCTCCAGGGTGGGGTTCAGGCCGAGGACACCAAAAGGGGCTTCCGGAGGAGGGAGCCCCTGCGCAGAGGCAGGCAGGACAGGGGCGGCCCAGGGGCCTCAGGACCTGGGGTGTGGAGCCCGGCCAGCCTCGGGAGGGGGACAGGGTCCCTGGGACTGGGCGCCTCGGGCGCATACTCTCTTACAGGTGAGGAATCCCAGAAGAGCCCGGGACCTGCAAGGCTCCCCTGGCCGAGGTTCTCGCAGGGTGGGTCTGGGTTCACCGCCTGCTGTGCCCCCGTGGAAGTCCCGTTTGTCTCCGTGGACCCGCTGAAGGTCCTACTCCGCTGGAGCAGAATGTCCAGGAGAGAGCAGCAGGTGGGCTCCCCACCTCCCAGCCCCCTCCCTGCCCCTCCCCCTGCGAGGTCCTCTTGCCCCTCCCCATAGCACACCTGAGCTGCCCTCCCCCCCCTCAAGAGGCTCCGTACACCCCACCTCCACAGCCTTGGACCCCGCCTCCAGCCTCCAGGCCACCCCGCCCCCACCTGTGTCCTGCAGGCCTCGACCCCCAGGGGCTTCCCGCACCTCAGGCAGGTTGAACCTCAGGTGGTTGCACATGACGTTGAAGCGCCGCAGAGGGCCAGCGCCCGTCCGACTCACGCCCTCCACATAGCGTGCCAGAAAGAGCCAGGGGTAGCCCAGGTGGACGCGGGGGCCGGCGGGCAGTGCCGCAGACAGGTTGTGGCTCTCGACGAAGCGGTAGAGGATGTTGAGCACCGTGCTGCCGGCCGTCTTGTGCGTCTTGAGGAACATGATGTTGGTGACGGGCGGCTCCTCGGCCCGGCCCCGGAACAGCCTGGGAGGGCGGCACAGGTGCCGTCAGCGGGTGGGGGCGCCCATCCCCGGGCCGTGCCTCGACGGTGGGACCTCCAGCCCAGCAACCCCAGCAAGACCCCCAACTGGCACCCCAGCTCTAGGCTGGGCGGCCTGCTGGGCAAGCACCCTGTGCCCAACATCATGACCTCAACACAGCAACCCCCGCAGAGACCCCGAACTGCCCCCATCACCATGCTGTCCCCAGCCCTGTGCCCCCACCAGCCCAGTCCTTTTAATAAAGCGATTTGTTCTGTGAGGTTTGAATGGTCCAAAGGCCATTCTTAGGGATCTGGAGACTATGTGTGGCCTACAGGCCGCAGGTCCATCTGCTCCCACGGCGTGCCACTGGCTCAGCCCCGGGGTCCCAGCCCTGTGCCACTGGGTCAACCCCTTGAGGACCCCAGTCTTCTCTCTGGCTCCCAGGACACCTGCCTGGCCCCAGCCCATGACCTCGGTCATGTGTGCACCATTTCTTGGCTGACCCTTCATCCCAGGAAAAGGCAGAGCCCCAAAGCTCTGACACCGGCCAGAGCAGGCTCTGGGGCTCCTCCTGTGACCCCATCATGGCACCCACCATAGGGACCTGGAGCAGCAGGGCAGGGCTAGCAAGCGTGACCGGGATGGGGACACAGGGTCCAGGGGCCATGCCAGCCCTGGGGCAGGGGGTGAGCACAGACACGATCTGGGACCTGCCTGCCACAGCTTGGTCCAGGGGGTGTCGGTGCCCCTCCCTCCCATGGAGAGCCAACAGGGGGCCATGGGGCAAGGGGTGGCCCAGGGTTTCAAGACCCTCCCAGCAACCTGACTACAGTGGGCTGGAGGTGAACAGGGACTGCCACAGGTCTGGCCCTCGTCCTCCCAGACTGCACCTGGGCTTGGACATGCTGACCAGGCCACCTGTCGGGAGGAGCCAGGAGGCCTCCCAGAGGCTCCCCTGGGCCCCCGGCCGTGCCCACCCCAGTGCTGGGAGGTGCCCAGGGCAGCACTTACGGCATGAGCAACTGGACGTCCCTGTGCAGGAAGCTGGCCAACAGGAGCACAGCCAGGGCCAGGAGGAGGACAGCCCGGAAGCGCCTGCGGGCAGGGTGACCCCATCAGTGTCCCCCAGGTCCAGGGCCACACCAGCCCCCCCTGCCCCCAACCTCCCCTGCCCTGGAGTCAAACCTAGATCCTTGGGCCTCCCCTACTCTCTGTAACAACCCGTGTGAACATCTGCTGGGCACCTGCCCGAGAGGTAGAGGTTTCACCTGGCCACCACATGGCTGCCCCGTCCCCTTCCCTGGACCGACTGTGGCGAGACGGAGTCCCCAAGCTCGGCACCTCCAGGGGTGAGAGGCTGAGAGGTGGGTGCTGTGGACTGAACTGTCCCCTGAAAGCCCCTATGTTGAAGGCCTGTTGTATGGAGGTGACTTTGCCCTTTGGGAGGTGATTGGGTGGGATGAGGTCCTGACGTGCACCTCCCCCAGCCCACGTGAGGACGCACGGAGAGCTCGGTGCCTGAGCCGGGAAGACAGTCCTCTCCAGGGCCGACCTGGCACCGCGATCTTGGGCTTTTGCAGCCTCAGAACCAGGAAATGCCTGTGGTTCAAGCCACCCTGTCCTGGCAGCCTGGCTAAGACAGCGACAAGAATGGCGTCTCCCGACAGAGGTGGGGCCCCCGGGAGAGGGGACGGGCCCCACACAGAGGCCTCGGAAGGCCTGGCCTGGGCCTGGGGACGCAGGTGGACACAGGCTGCGGTCCCTGGGCAGGGAGCCCCGGTCCTCTCACCCCCTGGGCAAGGCTCCCCATCAGCGGAGAGCAACAGAGGGACCCTCGAGGAGGGGTAGGGGTACCATATGGGCCGTGGCCTCTCAGTGTAGGAGGCCAAGCACAGGCTCCAGAGGGCTGGATGCCAGATCTGGACTCAAAGAGCTTAGTACCTGGAGAGGACACAGGATGAGCTTCCTGCTTGGACTGGGGCTTTTACACAGGGCTTCACAGGGTCCATAGGAGTGCGGCAAACAGATGAAGAAGGAGGAATTGCCACAGAGGTGAAGCGAGGCGTGTGGGAGGAGGGGCAAGGGGGGGCGCCAGGACAGCAGGGAGAGCAGACTTGGGCCTGGTGGCCCTCCCAGCACCTGGAACCGGCCAGTGTGGCCCCCGCTGCCGCTCTGGGCGGGGGAGGAAGGCCAGGCGGGCCCCACCCCCGGTCCCAGGCCCCGCCCTAGGAGTCGCTGCAGGCAACAGGTCCCTGCTGCCCACACTCCTCTGCTTTGGGGGAAAGCAGATGAGTTTTGCATAAAACAATCTTGAAATTTAACATAATGCCCCCAAACAGAATTTTTAACTAAGAAGTAAATTCTAAAATTCAAATGGATGAAACGCACAGCCTGACAGCTAGGAAAATGCTAAGCAGCAGTAACCAGGAACGCCAGGTCCCCAAATGGGAGAACGGATACGAGAGCGGGCGGACAGCCACGGCCGCGGAGCTGCCAGCCGAGGGCCCCAGGGCAGGGGACAGGCAGCCGACGGCGAGGGCACACCTAGCGAGCTCCCCACGGGACTCGGGTTTGCAGCTCGCTCCAGAGATCAGGGTAAACTGGCCCGAAGGTTTAGGTGTGAAAAGTGAAGCCACAAAGCAGTTGAGGGAGGACAGGACTGAGCTTGCGGGTCTGAGCAAGACACCAAACAAGAAGGTGTTAAAAACAGAAAAGGTAAATCTGACAAAAATGTAATGTCTCTCCGCAGCAAAGCCGTGGCCCCAGGGTTGAGATGACAGCTGGGGGACGCAGGTGGGTGACGGGCACACTCACCCCTAGCAACTGTCCGTCCCCACTGGGGTGCTGCGGTCCACCCTGCTCCCCGAGTGGCCACCCCAAAGCCTCTGACAGCGACCAGGTAGACCCAGGCCTCCACCCCCGGCTGTCCTGCACCCCACACGTGGCCAGCCAGGGGCCACCAACAGCCCAGCCCCACGGGGACTGCCACCTGGCCTCGGCCCCTCGCTCCCAGTCACCGGCCAGGGCACACGGTCTACCGACCTCACTGCCCCCCAACACCCGCCCTGCGCCACGTCCCCCTTCAGACGAGACCCGAGCGCCTGCTCCCCTTGGCCGTGCAGAGAGAACCTCGGGGCGTGGGGACCTGGGGCGCCGAGCTCCTCTCAACCCTGCCACACCCGCCTGCACCACGCCCCCTTCAGACGAGACCCAAGCGCCCTGTCCCAGAACCTCGGGGCGTGGGGACCTGGGCGCCGGGCTCCAGCCACAACAGCGAAATAACGGACTTTGGGGGAGACGAATCTGTCTTCCACGGAAGCCAGCGCCACAAGAACGGGCCGTGACTGTTCTCACGACCAGCGGGGCCCTGAGCTTTGATGACCCGGCAGCGGGGCGGTGGCGGGAGGGCTCCCGCCATGGCCCTTGTCCCCAGGGTGCTCCTCTTCACCAGTCTCCAAGGAGCCCTGGGCCCTGCTGGGAGGAAGTGGCCTTTGGGGCCCGGGGCTGGGTGCTGGGGGTGTGGGGCCCGAGACGGGGCTCCCTCCTAGGCCTTCCCGGCCGTCAGCCTGGGAGCTGCTCGCACAGAGACAGACAGTGACCGAGGGCCCACCCCACGTCCAGCTCCCGCTTTCAGCAGCCCCCGTACGTCTCGCGGCTGTTAGCCACGCCAGGAGCGTGGGTCCCGTGGGCTTCGTGCCAGGCACACGTGCACCAATGCCAGTGCCGGCCGGGCACACGCACCTGCGCCCACGCCACGCTCCAGGCCCCGCAGACGAGACGGGAGCTCCCCACCCTCCCTTCGGCCTCTCTCTGCGGAAACTCCCACGGGGGCTACCACATCCCCACGTCAAAACGGGAACCAAAGTGACCCGAATCAGCCAGGCCCTGGGGCGGGGGAGGAGGGGGAGGAGGGGAGGGCGGCCGCAGCATGGGGGGGCCGGCACCCCAGGGTGGGAGGCACCGCCTGAGTGGGAAGGGACGTTTTCCCACCGCAGAAGAGCCGGCAGAGTGGGGGTGCTCTCTGCTGGCCACGGTGGGGTCAGGACGCCCTCCCAGGGAAGTGGTTTACACAGCCCCACATGGTTAGTGTTTAACCCGCCCTGATAAGGGCTGTGGCCCTTCCCCAGGCTGGCCTCCCCACACGCTCAGCCATCACTGTGCCCATCGCCTCAACGGCCTTCCTCAAACGCCGCGCTTTGAGGGCTCCTCGCAGACACTAATAAAACCTGGCGCACGCTGGCCACCTGCCGCGGCTTTGCATTTGCTCCGAACCAGCCCTCAAAGCAACGTGCGTTTGTCTCCACTCACTGCAGCTGCCTGGCCGAACGGCGCGTCTCAGAGGTCCCATGTTCATAAACCACCGAACATTGCATGCGCTGAGCTTTTAGGGGCTTCCTAAAATCCCAAGGACGCGCCCCTCTAAAGTTTGTCTGTGGCGCTCAGAGCTAGCGGCCGGGCCCTGCACCCTTTCTCTGGGGTTGGCCAGAGTCGTCTGGGTTGGGAGAGCCTCAGGGCTTGAAGGCTCCCGCCAGGCTCCCGTGGTCCCGGGGCCGATGGCTCTGGGCCAGGCTGGGCTGCCAGGGCCGCCGCGCACAAGGACGTGGCAGTGGCCGACTGCACTTATAGACAACACTGGGTGCGGCATTGGCCCAGTTCCAGAGTGGGCCAGTGGCGACGAGACGTTCAAGGCCCAGGCCCTGGCGACCTGCAGGTGGGCAGTTCCCGGGCATCTTTCTGGGTAAGAACTAATAAAATATCTAAACTTATGGATAATAAACAGTCTTTTTTTTTTTTTTTTTTTTACAGAGTCTCACTCCATCGCCCAGGCTAGAGTGCTGTGGCGTTATCCTAGCTCACAGCAACCTCAAACTCCTGGGCTCAAGCAATCCTCCTGCCTCAGCCTCCCGAATAGCTGAGACTACGGGCATGCGCCACCATGCCTGGCTAATTTTTTCTATATATTTTTATTTGTCCAGCTAATTTCTCTCTATTTTTAGTAGAGATGGGGTCTCGCTCTTGCTCAGGCTGGTCTCAAACTTCTGACCTTGACCGATCCACCCACCTTGGCCTCCCAGAGTGCTAGGATGACAAGCGTGAGCCACTGCGCCTGGCCTACCTGTGACTGCAGGGGAACACGTAGGAGCCTGGCTGTGCCCACCTGGACTATTGGACGCTGCCCCTCAGGCCCCAGCACCCCTGGGAGAAGCCCGAGCCACACACAGGGCCGTGTGCAGGAACCAACAGCTGGTGCCGGCCGCCCCGGGTAACGGCAGCTCCAGCCGATTACGCCAGACCACAGCGCCAGAGAGGCGGCGCCAGCTGTCCGGCCCCCTGCGGGTCGCGCCATCCGTGGTGGGGGTGCAACCACCACTTGCACTGCCAGGGGTCAGCTACGCTCCCAGCAAAACAGGTCCTGGGCAGGATCGTCGCAAGAGATTTGGAAATAATAGAAATAGAGAAAGAACAGAGACAGAAATAACCGAGATGGAGACACAGTATAGTATAAAGTGAGGGGAGTCAGGGGTCCTCCGGCGTCCCACGAGCTGTGTGGCCCTGAGTGAAATCAGTGTTTACTGGCGCAACAACTAGTTGCCAGTCGCCTGGCACACGCCTCTGACTGGCCAGATGCCCCGTTGCTAGGCAGCTTCTGGTCTGTGAGCCGACAGACTCCCAGATTCCTTCAAGGCAAAGCCCCGCCAAGCTCCCGAAACCTCTCACGTCTCTTGTCTTCTAACACGTCGCAGAGTAAGAACAGCAGAGAATAAATACAGCACCAAGCACACAGACACAGAAAATGTCAGAGCACGCCGCCTTTGGCAAGGCCGAGCACTGTGTTGTGAGCCTGTCTTCAGCACAAATGTGTGGCCAAGGGGGTCCCTTTGTCCACTGAGAGGGTCCGGCAGGGCCGCGTGGGCCCCTGTGTCCCCCTCTCTTCCTGCCTTCCCTCTGCAGCCTCGTCCAGCTGGCCGGACACGATGCTCCCTGCTCTGGCCGTGCCCCACGTCCCCAGGGCCTGCGCTGGCCCCTCTGGGGGCCACCAGAACGCAGCCTAATAGAAGTGACCCTGCTGGGAGGCCGAGGCGGGAGGATCACTCAAGGTCAGGAGTTTGAAACCAACCTGAGCAAGAGCGAGACCCCATCTCTACTAAAAATAGAAATTAATTGGCCAACTAAAAATATACAGAAAAAATTAGCCGGGCATGGTGGCGCATGCCTGTAGTCCCAGCTACTTGGGAGGCTGAGGCAGGAGGATCGCTTGAGCCCAGCAGTTTGAGGTTGCTGTGAGCTAGGCTGATGCCACAGCACTCTAGCCTGGGCAACAGAGTGAGACTCTGTCTCAAAAAAAAAAAAAAAAGCAGTGACCCTGAGTGGGGCTCCTGGGCCCCCCAAAGCCGAGGCTGAGGACAGTGCCCTGCCCTGCTCCAGCCACACGCCGGCTCACCTGGCCCTATACCCCATTCTGAGGAGCAGGAAGACAGTAGCCAGAACCCAGAGCCCCGACATGTGCCCACTGCCTCTGGCCCCAGCCCGCTTGCTCTCATCTAAGGACAAACACAAATTCTTAAATGTTTTAAGTAAATCTTGAATTCCTAGTGCACCAGCTGCCTCAGCCACCCAGGAAGCAGCTGCTGCCCGGCAGTCAAGGAGATCGTCTCACGGGTCAGGGCTGCCACAGAGCCCAGGAGCCCCCGGAAGGGACCTCAGCTCCAGCCCCCACTTCTGCCCCTCGCCCAGACCCCCGATGGCAACCTCATGCGCCAGCCACCCCCAGCCCCACCCAGCATCTACTTAGGCATCGTGAAGGTGGGGGGCCGCAGCCCTGCCTGGACCCCAGTGTGACTAGGGGGACCAGCAGTCATGCAGAGGCCAAAGAAGAGGGCCAGCCCTCACTGTGGCCAAGAGCCATCCTGGCGCCTCCTTCCTCGGTGGGGGCAGCTCCACGGAGCTTGAGGAACAGGGGCTTGCCCAGCACTTCCAACTCAGCCTCCAAGAAGCTCCCACGGCTTTGAGCAGCCCCAGCGCAAAACCTCCATCCGAGAAATGTGCCCGGGAAGAGCTCAAGCCCTGCACACCCTGGCACGCTCTGGGGGCTGCTTGGACCTCTGCCCATCCAGCCCAGGGCCCACACCCTCCTCCCACCCCGGCCCCTGCCTGGAGGGCTGCAGTCCTAGGTCAGCAGAAAGACCTGCAGACCCTTGAGGCTACAGACACAGCCTGCAGCCTCCGGCCATGGCGGTCCCACCGCACCACAGAGACCACCAGGGCCGCCCAGGCCAGAGCCTGCACTGCCGGCCGGTGGCTGAGGAGGCCTGGACAGCACCATCTCGGAGAACTGCACGAGACACCCCCAAGCAACACAGGCTGCAAGGAGGGGCCCGGCTGACACCCAACAGCAGGAAGGTCTCCAGGAGCTCTCTCCAGGTGGCCTCCCTCAGGCTCCACACCACGTCTTCTCCACGAAAGAGTCCCCCAGGGGAATGCCCCCAAGTCAAGGGTCACCCCAAACCTTGCAGTAGCTGAGAAGTTTGTGCCTTAATCATCACAAGCCAGGAAACCTCTCTGAGCATGACCCGATGGGCACTTTGCAGCCAAGAGTCCCTGGGGGTGTCCAAGTCTCCTTGCCCAGCAGGCAAGGCTCCCTGGGCTGCAGACCGGGCCTGGGAAGACTCCGATCTCTGCTCCAGGCAGCTCCTCTGACCACCCCGGCCGCTGGGCAGGACCGCCAGGCTGCACCACTAACCCTCTGTCCAGGGCTGTCCACTCCCTCTGCCCGTCCACAGGCTAGAGCCAGGCCAAGAGTGTGAGCCTCCGAGGCCTGCGCAGTTCTGGGAAAATAAACGAGGGGGGGGGGTCAGTGCCGTCCAGGGCTGTGGCGGAGACTTGGCCCCTCTCTCCTGGGGGCTTTGCGCTGCAACAACATTCTCAAAGTAGCCTCGGACGCTCAGGGCTGCTGCAGCCCGCCTGGCCTTTGTGTCAGGAAGTGCAGCCTGCAAGGCGGTGGCGGAAAACCCCTCCTGCCGGCAAGGAGACCAGGGGCCAAGGAGCCCGCCCTGGGCCGCCCCAGGCCCCCAGGCCACAGTGCCCACCCAGACTGTGCCCACAGAGGCTGGCAGGGGTCCGAGTGGGTGTGCCCTGGCTACCCACTGCCGGCCACCTCGGGGGGCCCCAGCTCAGCCTCAAGGGCCAGGGGACTCGGCCCCAGTTATGGGGCCAGGGGACTTGGCCCCAGTTATGGGGCCAGCTGACCTGCCAGCCTCCACACCACTTCTTCACAATGGGGAGACAACGTCCGCCAGAGGGGAGTCCCCAGCCTGGTCTGGGCTGCGGAGGGGGACTCCTCCCCCCCCCCCCCCCCCGCCTCTCGGCCACATGACAGAGGTCCCATCGGCAAGCAGCCCTGGCGGCTGGCCTGAGTCACGCCCCAGAAGAAGTTGATGATGTTGGCGACTGTGGGTGCCACGGGGGAGGCAGAGGGCTTGGGGAGCACTCAGGCCCCTGGTCCACACTACACCAGGATCTCCCAAAGCAGGGGTGGGGGTGGGGGGTGAAGCGCAAACGGGGGTGAAGTGCAAACCGGGATGAGTCAGGGGTGAAGTGAAGTGCAAACATAGGGTGAAGAGCAAACGGGGGTGAAGTGCAAACTGGGATGAGCCAGGGGTGAAGTGAAGTGCAAACGGGGGTGAAGTGCAAACCGGGATGAGCCAGGGGTGAAGTGAAGTGCAAACATGGGGTGAAGCGCAAACGGGGGTGAAGTGCAAACCGGGATGAGCCAGGGGTAAAGTGCAAACGTGGGGTGAAGCGCAAACGGGGGGTGAAATGCAAACACAGGTTGAGCTGGCAGGTGA